AGGGCGAGTTCTTTCCCTCAACCCAGATCTTCTGGTCAGGAGTTTAAAGTGGCTCAGGAATTTAAAATGGCTCTGATGCCATTCTCTGCTTCATTTCGTTCAGTTCTCAAAGAAACCACCCTAACTCACGGTCCAGATCTTTTTCTGCTTAAAAAGCTTAAGTAGGGGCTTCCCTGGTGGCGCAGTGGTTGAGAGTCCGCCTGCCGATGCAGAGGACGCGGGTTTGTGCCCCGGTCCGGGAAGATCCCACATGCCGCAGAGCGGCTGGACCCGTGAGCCATGGCCGCTGAGCCTGCGCGTCCGGAGCCTGTGCTCCGCAACGGGAGAGGCCACAACAGTGAGAGGCCCGCGTACCGCAAAAAAAAAAAAAAAAAAGCTTAAGTGTATATTCCTCACATTAATTCAAGCTTAAGTGTATATTCCTCACATTAATTCAAAGTCCATTGTCTTTTGGAGAGAAAGCAAAACCATTTATTTTAGAACCTACCTGAACTCACTCAGCAAACATGTTCTAGTTGGTGTGCAGACAGACACATTTAACCAGCTCTACATTCAGTCAACCATTCATGTTAATGATGATAATAGCAAAAAGTGAAATTGTACAATCAGGCCAAATTTAGATTAGGCCTCACCTCTCCTCTTTCTTTAGGAAATCAGGAGCCTCCCCACCTTACAGTAGTGCTCCCTGGACAGTGAATGACAAAAGGGGTGAGTCCTGCATAATCCACAGCTGTTGTAATCTGCCCTGCAGGAAATGGTAAAAATAAATGCTTTCTTACGGGACTCGTACATTTATTTTATGTCGCTTAATTTCTAACAAATATATTAAGTTTGAGGAAAATCTTATTTAGCTAGAATTATAGGGCATGGAGTCATTAATTCTTCATTTCCCTGAGATGGTGCCTACTCTTCCTCTCCTTGTGCCCTCCTTGTACTCAGCATGCAGTTCTACTGTTGCACTTACCTAATGCCTTCTTGAAGAGAACATGCCACACCTCTGAAGCCGTAAGCCAAGCATAGTAGCTTGCATAAGTACAGGCCCAAATATCTGTTGAATACTGTATATGGAAACATGATGAAAACTTGTCACCACTGACTTTAAATGTAAAGAAAACTTTATCATCAATTTGGACAAAGGAGAATTAGAATTCAAGTCCAGTTTATATGGCAATTCCTCAATGTTCTTCACAGAATAAGTAGACTGTAGAAGTACATTCGAGTTTACTTTTTAGAACAAGCAAAATGTCATTTTAAGTACAGTTGACCTCTGGACAACGCAGGGGCTGGGGCGCCAACCCTCTATGCAGTTGAAAATCCGCGTATAATTGACAGTCTGCCCTCCGTATACAATTCCTCTCTCATCCAGTGTCCCACGTCCACGGATTCAACCAACCATGGATCATGTAGTGCTGTAGTATTTACTACTGAAAGAAATCTGCATATAAATGGACCCATTAAGTTCAAACCTGTTTAGTTCAAGGGTCAACTGTATATTATGTATCCTAAATAAGTCACAGAAGCTAGTATAAAAACAAATTAAGATAAAAATCATGTTCGGAAAAGGAAAAACACACACATACAGATGTCAAAGATGCCAGCACAATACTAAGGGTAAATAAGAAATAAGGTTATAGAAAGTTGGTATTAGAAGACAGAGATTAATGCAGATATTTAAATACATAAAATCAGTCCATAACTGGGGGGGTATGACCCTTAAGATTCTGCAAAGGATAAACTTGATTATTAAAGAGCAGAGTCGATTTTACGATAAAAAGTTTACAATCAGTAGACTTATGTGATACAGGAAGGTCATTTTTAGGGAGAGAGATTTATATGGTTTTCCACATTAGCACTTTTCACGAATATGGATTATAGTTAGGAAAACCTGTATTTCTGACTTGGTATTTAGTAGTGATATAGAGCTGGTTACACACCCCCTAGCATCATCAGCACACATCCTGCCTATGAAAATTCATCAGCCCCAATTTTCAAAGTGCCCACTCTTAATTTTCCATTGAGAGTAAATCAAATGCTGTGACAAAAGTTTTTTTGCAAAATCACATGTGCCATATACACTGCACTGCAAAAGAAGAAAACAAAATGTTTTTAATTAAATAGTTCAGAGGAAGAGAAACAGGTGAATAGAGGTCCACAGACCAAAGGATCTCTCTGGAGGGGAAAAAAAAAGACGAAAATATTCACCCATTTACCCATGAGGTCAAAGGGATCAGGAGCCACCGAAACACTAGTTCACGCACTTTGTCTAGGAGCAGAAGGAACAGAAGTTGTATATATTTGCATCGTAAACAGTGTGCATTATACAAACTTAAAATCTATAATTAAAACCTACTCAATCTAATAAAAATCATTCACAAAGCATTATATAGGCAAATATGTTTAAAAAAATATTTTAATAAGCATATTCAGAACGGCAGACAGGGAATGGGGAAGGGAATTTCCTAATAGTGCAAAATTACTATGCATAAATTTTAAAACATCTAATTCATAATTTTAAATGCCTATTTGAATATTACTTCAAATACATTTGAAAGCTCAACAGATTTGTGTTGAACTGAGTTACAAATTTTGAACTCTTTTGAAAACACATCATAAAACAGAAAACCATTCCAAAGGAAGATAGACAGTGCTTTGCTGGGTGTAGGTATGGGGTGAGGGAGACTAACTATTAACGAAGCCTTCTTTTCCCAATGCAATTTGTCAAGAGTTCAAGAGTTATGAAATGTACTAAATCTTAAGCAAATTAAATTCATGGTATTACTAAAAATTTTTAAAGTAGTGCAATGACATCAAGTTATAGTGGCTGCATTATGAAGAACAAAGTACTGTGTGAAATACCTATATAAACATAAAATACAATTAAATATTTCTCTATGAAAAGCTGAGCATTATGTATTATAATAGTGGAATGTCTTTCATTAGGCATACTTTAAAAAGATCAAGAAAAGTAAAATTTCCTAACATGTATACAACATGTGCCGTATTTGCAAACATGCCTGAGAATTTATTTAAAATGCTCCTGTAATGATAGTCTGCAAGAACTTCACAAACCTGCAAACAAAATGCATCTTTCAAAAAAAAAAGGTGAAAATGGCAACTCTAATATTGCAACAACTTAAAAAAAGTTCATCATTACTTTCTATAGACCACCTTTGACAAAGAGCTAGGACACTTTGGATTCGTATAATAAAATCTGATTTAGAAAATGGATAGTGACCATCTGCTAAAGCTGCCATTCTGGATAAATTAATGTTCTAGGTAAAACAAAAACAAGAAGTTCACGCTTCTCAACACTTCCACCCAAAACTTTGATTTACTTGGATGTGTATGTAACAACAATGAATCTACATCATATGAAGTCAAGTGTTGTAAAGTGGCTTTTAACACTGTTTGGGGAGAAAAAGTTGTTCACATTGGTGGAGGGAAGCAGTCTGAACATAGGTTAATAGTAATACTTCATGGGGGATAATTTTCTCAGTGCAAACCTCTACTCAATTGCATTAGACAGTTGAGCCATTAAAAACAAGACCACAGAAGATTTATTTTAAAAAGGCATTGGCTCTTTGATGGCTGAAAATGAATCAGTAGAAGCATTTGGGGTATGCCTGTGTGATAAAACAAGAATAGTTAATAATCTTTTATAAAAGTTTGGATATAGGTTGGTCTATCAGCTGTATAAAACTACATTTTTTAAACAAGAATTTTGCACTAAAAATAAAATGGCACTATTGCAAGGCTATGCAAATGGATGATCCTATTTGTAATCACACAGAGCAATGGTTACTGATATCTTATTTTCATTTTGGAAATACACTATCAAATCTGAAAAGCTGGATTGTTAACTGGAAGTCTAAAAACTTCTAACTTTATCACTTTTTCCTCATAAAATCAATATTGCTGCCTGCCAACTCCTTGTGTGTGCCAACATCTAAGTATCACTTGACCTTTTCCCCTGTTTATTTAATGCAAAAATGGGAAATTTTGTAATGCATATAAAAATAACTGAACAGGATTCTGGTCAGCATGATACATTTAAGCACTTAAGCCAACATTAAACTTTTGTCTTGATTCAAAAATAATTTTGAAAATTATAGCAAATGCAAAACAAACTATGTGATCTAAGTATCATGCTTAATTTCAGAGTTCTCAAATTATTTGTCCTTAAGTAGAAACTTGAAAAAAACAAATGTTCACAATCCTTTATGAATGCTTTTACCACCTGGATATAAGAAACATGACTTAGTTACTACACAAACACTTAAAAATTCATTAGAAAAACCTTAGCAAAATAAAATGAAAGCTGACAGACTCAGAATATCAATTCCTCTCATAAAAGTTTACCAACTGTACAAGTTAAGAAAATTATACAAGCTTTTGTATTAAGAAAGGACAGCTCAGTCAAGACATATGTACTGTAAAAATCTTCCAAAGGCTACAAAGAATCTGGAAAAATACAGAATGTATTTCTTAAGCCCAGATAAGAATATGGAAAGACATCATTGATGTCAACAATTTTACATATACAAACCTGACTTGGTTTATTTTTAAACTTCTATATATAAAAAAATCATGCTAGCATAACTTTCAGGATTCATAAGGGTTTCCTTAATAATGGTAACTCAATTTGTATGGAGAAGAAAAATGTCATAAAAGACATTTCAAGAAACTCAGAAAAATTGGTGTTAATCAGAAATTTGAACTTTTTTTCTTCTCTGCCATCAAACTAAGCAAAAAGTACCTTGTAGTGAAATTTTAGGATTAATACATCAAATGAGAAGGTACAGATATATCTTTCAAATTTACTAAACTATTTGTTATATATCCTTAAAAAGGGCCTTCACAATTTTAAAGTAAAAAGTCTGCAAAAGGCAGAATTATGAAATCTTATTTACTAAAGTTAGGACAATTCAAATTTTCAAATTTTAACCAACTGCTTCAAGGAAGTCAACTTTTTAAGGTCACCCATCAACCCTGAAAACTTTAGTCACACCAGAATTTACTCCAAAGAAAGTAAAATAAGTCTAAAATTTAGTCGTCTGTGTTTTCAAGTTCTTCAAATTTTCCATGTGAGACTGCATCTTGGAAAAATTCAGAAGAACCCGGACTTTCTTTTCCATTGCTGTTCACCCTTCGCCTTTTGGCAGGTCTCTCACTTTTTTCATCAAAATCACTTTCATTTCTTGCAGTCGTATGGGCAATTTTTGGGTCAGTGGTAAGGTTATCTGTTTCATAACCATTAGTATCCATATCTGTGTGAAGTGGTTTCTTACTTCCACCTGTTGGTCCATTAACCTGTAACCCTTCAACTTTCACTTCTTCTTTGTTTAATGTTTCACCTGGTCCGTTAGATGACACCCCTAAGTTGGAAGAAACATGAATGAAACTGCTAATAATTTGTCAACTATTATAACACAGCTATAAACAGCTGCAAAATAACTTTTTATCGAGCAAGTGAGGTATCAAATCTGTGTATACATATGGTTTGAATTCTGGCTTTATTTACTTTAGTAGCTGTGTGACCTTAGGCATGTTATTTACACTCTCTTGTACCTCAGTTTCATCACATATACAATGAGGATAACAACAAATTTATAGGATTGCTGTGAAGATTAAATAAGTTAATAAATGTAAAGAATTAAGAACAGAATTTGGCATATATTAATAGCATGCTGGTATTATATGTGGCAACAAATAAGCAATGGATCCAGCAGTCTAAATAAGCTGAGTTAAAGCAAAGATATGCATAAATTATTCAGATTTAGCAAAAAGGCCAAAACTTTCTAAAACCATGACAAAATTATATTCTTTCTTTAGAAGTTTGAGTTTTCTACTGCCATATATAAAAAGCAGGATGACATGACGTTTTCATTCTTAATGTAAATCTACAGGTATTATGCTTTAAGGGTAAAGATCATATGCTATATTTATCTAAACAGATTTAAATAATCTGTCATGATGTTACATTAATGCTTGCACTGTCCAAGCGTACACTTGAAAATGCTAAAAGTAAACACAAATTCCTTTATAATAGATTGAGAAAAGAAAGAGTATAATTACTCTAATGAAGTGACAAAAGGTCATGTTAGAGTTGACTGCAAAATGGAGAAATTTTGCAAATACTTAATGTAAAATATAGAATGTGCCACTGGAGATAATTTAAATTTAGTTTTCTGAAAAATATTCACTATAAAGAACGAGAGCCTCAAATACACATTTTGGTCAAATAAAATATACTATTTCCCCAGCTCAAAGGTGCACTCAAGTCATGTATGCTTATGGGATTATGCGCCATATGACAGCAGAGGAGTGATTTTGTCATAGTAAGCACAAGAAGCTTGGTGACACTCTCATTAGGTCAAAAAGCACTAGTAGATTTCAAGACATGAATTAAAGCCCCTTATGAAGAAAGACAGTTGGGTTGCAAAGTTCCTTCCTTTCTTGAAAAACCTGGAAATCTTAATTGTACCTGATGTGAATGGCTTCTGGGCTGAGTAATTTATAAGTAGCTTATGAACACTCTTCCTTGGCTAACTGCATGTTATCATCAAATGGTTAAAAAACAAAGAAGGAAAAGAAAGGGAAACAATTTATTTGGTGTTATCAGCAAATAAGAAAAGACAGAAATACAGTAGTCCCTGGCATCTGTAGGGGATTGGTTCCAGGACCCCCTCGGATACCAAAACCCATAGATGCTCGTCCCTTATATAAATAAAACAGCATGAAAAATGCATATGACCCATGCACTTTCAATCATCTCTAGATTACTTATAATACCTAATAAAGTGTAAATGCTATGTAAATAGCTGTCAGCACAGAGCAAATTCAAGTTTTGCTTTTTGGAATTTTCTCGAATTTTTTCTTTCTTCAAATATTTTTGCTATGCAGTTGGTTGAATCTGCAGATGCAGAGCCCATAGATACAGAGGGCTGACTGTACTACCAACCGTCTGCCTCCCTGAGTTTCCACCCCTAGTCCCAAAGTCAGTCTCTGCTTCTTATTCAACTTCAGGATGGATGTGATTGGCATTAGAAATCATGTCGATGAACCAGGAAACGGCTGGGCTGTAATATTTGTTTGTTTGGCTTGTTCTTAGAGGGGAAGTAGTGAGGGAATAGAGAGGGGTCATTAAATGAACAAAGTATATTCACCACAGTAATATTAAATGCCAGTGTGAGAGCAAAGATCAGAACAAAGTTCAAATTCTTCACAGTATTCCTCTTCTAGTTTCTGTCAGGGGGAGGTTAGCTCTCCACTGGCCCTCCCCTAAATCTGTTACATCAGAATGCAGGTGGGCAGAGCTTGTCTCTAATTCACCAGTTTCCTCCTAAAAAGGACTGGAGGATTTATTACGTTCTGCTTAGCAATGGTCTTACTTAAGACTATTTTCATTAAAGTAGAAATCAAGATAATTCTCTGACTAGGTCTTACTGATCAGCTCAGTGATCCTTGGTCCACTATATATTTTAAACAAGAACACTATCTGAATCTCAAACATATTAGTATGCCTTTTGCTTCTCTTTTTCATGGACATAAAAATGAATGTTTCTGTACAATATTAATTCACAGGCTGACACCTGCTTTATCTTTACTCGTCCTTCAAGGTTATTATGTTACCAAGGAGGAAAATATTTTAAAGAGTGCCCTTGTTATCTGTTTCTTTTCATTTATATGCTTAAAGCAGTTTCCTAATAAAGTGTTATAAGCTCTGAAAGTATTTCATAAATATCTGTGTATTTCTGATGTGAAATGGCTGGAGTTTCGGTCTAAGACTTAACAAGAATACTTATATCTAGACATTCCAACCTGATAAGAAAACAGATGCTATTTTCTTAATTTCTTAAAAGAAATGGTCACTGTTGATAGTATACTTTATTAGATGTACTTTTTAGTGATATCAATGGGAATTCTTTCCAACTGACTTGTACATATTCTGTGTTAGTATATATGTATGCTGATACTATGTTTCATCTGGTATTTATAATTATGACTTCAGTTCTGCTTTGGAAGTTTAAGAGACACCAAAACTGAATTTTCCAAGCTACTGAAAGAAAAGTGCCCGTCACTATGAAGAAATCTAAGTGTTCTTTGGTTGCTTACCATTTTGATTACTATTGCTTATAGTGCCATCTTCTTTCTCAGACTGGCTGTTACTACTGTTTGAGGCAGTTGGGGGAGGGGATGGTGCTCGACTAGAAGCAGCACTTTCACTTTCATCTAGAAGACGATCCATGTAATCCCTTAAAATTGAGTAAAATAAGACAATTATTTTCTTATATTAAAAACAGCTGAAAATTAAAATTGACTGAGGTTAAATTTAGAAAGCTTTATTAGCAAATATATCCTAATTTTCACTTACATTTATTCCAGTGCCTCATCTATGACACCAGTATCTGAACATTTAAATGGAAAAGCTCCTCTTGGTTACATGTTTGTAGGAAAAATATGTAAGTGCTCTACACTAGCAAATTTTAGAGACCTATAGGAAGTTTTAAAACTTTAAAAACTGTAGGCAAGTGATCAGAGGGGCCCAACTAAAATCAGAAAATCTGTAAATGAAGAGATAGGGATGATGTCAATCAGGAGGAGTACAGAAGAATTTCTGAACAGACACAGGTTGGAACTGTAAAGCTCGTAAAGACTATTGGACTGTTATGGCAATACCTGAAAGACAAATTAGGACCCAATAATGAATTACCTTCCTGTTACCTTCTATATTACCTTTCTGCTAGAGCTAAGCTATAATAAGCTCACTAAGTTCCTGGACTTATCTGCCAGCTGTATCTGCCCATATATTGTTAGAGGTGAGCTTACTTCCTTACCTAAGTCATTCCTAACTGTATGGCATGGGAAGACATTTGTGGTAAGTGACATTGGGTTGAGGTTAGAAGATCTGAACGAAATACTTCTCTCTCAGGTCTAGTGTCTTTACCTATAAAATGTATGTAACCATACATGACCTATCTACCACACAGGGCTGTTGTATAAGATATGTGTAGCGAAGTGTTTTATGAACTATGAAGTGCTATTAAGTCACTAGAATAAAGGTCAGCAAACTATGGCCTGTGGGCTGGCCACCTATTTTTGTGGACAGTATTTTACTGGAACACAGCCACATCCATTCACTTACACAGTGTCTATGGCTGCTTTTCACAACAATAGCAGAGCTAAGTAGTTGCAAGAGAACTTAATGCCTGCAAAAGCCTAAAACATTTACTCTCTAGCTCTTTACAGAAAAAGTCTGCCATCACCTGTGCTGGAATAGTTCCCTGAAAGCAGGGAGTTTAGTCTGCTTTATCACTGCACCACCAGTGCCTAAGTTGTGCACGGTGCAGAGAAGTGCAATAAAACCCAAAATACCTTATTTATTTTTAAATTCCCTCAGAATAAGTATAACAAATAGTAAGGCACATCTTATCTTTTAGAATTTTGTGAGCAGCGTAAGAAAGAATGTGGACAAGAAGGAAACCATGGAAGGGCTTTTGGGACTTTACTGAAAGTCTGTGGTAACAGTCTAGAACAGACTAGTAACTATAGTTTTAATCTCAAACTACGTGATCATGTTGTAGTTTATATACAGGGACATACATTATAAATGTGTAGTTTATAATATAGGGATGTAGAATGACCTCAAGAAGCTTCCGACAGGTTAAGAGTACAAACTAACACATATCAAAGAAACATATATGACCATGAACTAATCAATTTAACATTCTAGGCCTTACTTTCCTCATCTATAAATGGAGGGAATGAAATTTCATGGTCTTTTAAGATCTCTTTGGCTTTATGTCATTCACCATTACAGAACAATTATGTAACAAATCACACAGAAACAGAACGAGCATGATGAATGCAATGCCAAAGGGACTTCAGAAGCTAAAGCTAACAGAGACAGATGAGGCATGAGGAAGAATTGTTGGAAATAAATTTGGCATAGTGGGAATGGGTAATGGAGGATGTTAAAAGCCACGCAAAGGAAGCTAGAACTGACTAGATATCAAAATTATTTTAAATTTCTGAATATAACAATGATATTGTGAAAGACTTATTACTATTATTTCTTAAAGGTTAATGGCATCCAGAATGCTTAAAAAAGGAAGAGTCAGGTAGACCGTACAGGAGGCTGGAGTAGCATTCAAATAGTTCAAGTTATGCTGAGTTAATTTTTACTTTGAAAAAAATTATTTGCAAGGCTGTTACAGAAAAATCTTCAATTTGTATATGGCTACCAATTCTTCCAGGTAGGTAGTGAATAGACAGAATCCACAGTAGGATTTTTCAAAGGCCATTTATAGGCAGAAAAGTGGCAATGTGCTTCATTCTGGTGAACAAATGGAAGGTAACAATGTAACAGAAAAATGAGCAAATAACTTTCAGGATAATCTGCTCTTAACTATTGATTCTGACTACGGAGGAAAATTTTCAAATTCAGTCCAATTTTTGTCTAACGGCATTAACTTAATGTTTTGTGCGGTCACTTAAAGTGCAACTATTAATAGAAAGAGAAGGTCCTGGAAGCAAACTAGAAAAATATCTTCATGCCTACAGAAAACCACAGTTTCTCCCCATCTGGAATATACAGTCTGGTCATGGCTTCTTACAGGAGATTTAACACAGCTAAAAGGGACAAGCAGGAGTAAAAGAATTATCGTTTTCAGTTAAAAAAACAAAAAACTTTATAAAAGACCCGGGAGGGGATATAACTGAAGCCTACAAAAACACAGTATTCTTGTCTAGGGGAAAAAGCATTTCTTCACTTCCTACCATAACACCAGGGAACATGCTGTTAACTCTTAAAGCCTGAGAAAAGAGAAGATATGGGATTACTTTTAACTGAGACTACTCCACCTACAGAATACTTAAACCTTAAGGAGAATCAAGGTTACAAATATAAATATCTTCAAAAAGTTTTCAGAAGCTACGGAGAGATTATTAGAAAAACTAAAATGTTTGGCAGCACATCCCTACCTAACCTGTTGAGCTTGACATCACAGAGGACCAACTAAGCCAGCCCACAACACTTCCCTTGGTGATGCTTTCTGAAAGAGAAAACTGGATGAACCATGGGTCTGACCCAGCATGGCAATTCTTATGTTCTTACTGCTGATGACGACAGATTGCCTGTAGTTCATGTGTGAACATTATTTCTGAAATGGGTGAAAAAAATGAAAGATGTTACTATTGCTTTTCCCTATAGAATAGCTTGAAAACTGACTATTTTAAGATATACTCTGAAGACTAGATAGCTGTATCTAGTTCTACATCACTGTGCCTCAACACTACCAATAAATACAAATTTAACTATAAATTGATAACAGTAAGCAATTATATAAAATTTGGAATACTGTTATATATAAAATTCTACTCATTATGAGATTTGAACAAGGGGGAATGAGGCACAGAGTTCAACGTCTCATGACTTCCAGGGGCAGTCATACCCATTTACTCCCTTTTAGATAATTCTGCTTTGGATTTTACAGTTTGATCCTCCAAGGAAGTAACCAGCAGAGACACCTGTAAATGAACACGACCAAGAAACAGTGCAGCCTAGGAGTTTGAAAAGCACAAGCAAATATGCATATAAGCACATCTTCCAAAGGCAGTTATTTGGCCAGGCTTAAGAACTTTAGTGGTGCATGGTGACCAAATGAAGTCACAGCTTTGCATTATTTTTATTCCATAAACATTAGGGAATACTCAAGGTATTGGCAAAGTTAATTTGTATATGGTAAAGTCAATTCCACCACAACAATTCATCAGCATTTTAGAGCAAGTCACGTGAAATGAAGGGTTCAATACTCTATGTACTATATACTTAAGTAACAAATTGCTAGTGGGAGTGGGAACAGTGTTTCATTCCACAGCTAGACTGAATGAAGCTAAGAGAATTTGGTGCATGGGGAATGGATTAGACATATAGGCATTTTGCTTAAAAAGAGGATATAATAAACTATACTCCCTCTATCACTGGGAGTTAGCTAAAGGTACATTACTTATTAAATATTATTTGTTAGAGGAAAAGGTTTCAGAATATTTAGGGAAAGGGAAGTCATCATGCACATGTGCACCTCTCTATAAAAAACTTTGTAATAAAAGAAAATGCAATTTTACCTGATTTATTATATCCCTACGTCTTTTCCCTTTGATATCATCTATATCCAAATCTGATTTTGGTTCCCAGAATCAAAAATAGATTGGGAAAGGAAAAATATTAATTTCCCCTCCTCTTTAAAGGGCCTCTATTAGGCATATGGCCCTATAAGTTTTAGAAAAGATAGTCTCTCCTATTCTTACTGCTCTCTCTCAGTGTTATTAGCTCAAAACTGTATGTGCTTATACTGAATGGAATAGAATTTAACAAAAACATGCCTTCACAGCTGTTCTGATCCATTTCCTCTCAGGAATACTACTGAAAACATACACTCTTTAACATTCGCTTTGATAAATTTGCTGTCTCAAATAAGATGAACTGTAGTTTACAATGTATTTATAAGACACTGAAAAGTCTAAATGCCCTATGAAGATGTCAATAAATGGATAAATTGAAACTAATGTAAACTTTTATCCTATTAAGAGAAAAAAGATTCTAAAAATTACAATTTTCTCAAGAAAAATTTAGAAAAGCTTAGCAAAAACATGACTCAAAAGAAAAAATACTCACGTGACACCAGGATGAAGATTATATTTCTTTTTTCCAAATCGCGTTTGCTGAGCAAAGAAATCGTAACGTTCAGATTTTTTCCACATATAATAGAATGCTACACATTCACCAACTGACCTTGTTCGAACCTATAAGAAACAAATACTTGTTTTTAACGAGTATCTCCTCCTTAAAGGGGTTATCTCATGAAAAATACCTGAAGTTTGAAAACAAATTTAGCTGGTCTTTAAGTAATACATAATACCACTTATAAAATACAACACTGTTAGCAGCCGTGTTAAAAATTACTCTTTCTGAACTCCCATTAAGAAAAATAATACATTGGCAACAGATCTTCAGATATTTAGCATTATGCTTTTTTTTAAACTTTTAATTTTTTTTTAACATCTTTATTGGAATAATAGTTGCTTTACAATGCCGTGTTAGTTTCTCCTGTATAACAAAGTGAATCGGCTATATGTATACATATATCCCCATATCCCCTCCCTCTTGCGTCTCCCTCCCACCCTCCCTATCCCACCCCTCTAGGCGGTCACAAAGCACCAAGCTGATCTCCCAGTGCTATGCAGCTGCTTCCCACGAGCTACCTATTTTACATTTGGTAGTGTATATGTCAGTAGCATTATGCTTTTAAAGAGACTATCATATGTTCATTTACTATAAAATAAATACCCCTTTATTGAAAATGTCTGGAAGTGGCATTTGAATTATTTTAATAATGTTATAAACAATTTGCAAATACTTTTACTCACAGAACGCCTAGGGAGACTGCTTGATTCTCTTACTAATCCCAACACTGATCCAGACTCAGTTACTTACTTTCTAGAAACGCTGACCCCAGTGAGTTAAAAGCTATTATAGTAATGCTAATACTTTGTTTACTAAATTACTCCAGTGGCTTACTGTGCTATACCTATTTGGGCAACTGAATGGCTCCCTTTACTAATGTTAAACATATGAGATTGACAACTGATGTTGACAAAATTCCCTGTTCTGCTACTCTGCTTAGAAAGCTGGTAGCATTGATGCATATAAAATACTAGGAGTTAAAAAGGTATCTGAATGAGTGTTTGGGATGCAAGACAATATGCTTTAACTCATAAATTTCTGATTCTGAAGAAGGTATCCTGTGGGACTAACTGCACCTAAGGTCAATTTTATGACATCCTTATTTTGTTACGCGACATATATTTTTCTTTCTGCCCCGTGTTGCTTTAAGACAAAGCTATCAGGGCTTTAAAAACAAAAACTAAAAACCCAGTCATCTTCTCAAGCTGTTTTCTGCCTCCTTTTTAGAATCTTATTCCTAGTAGACAATTGTCAAGTCAACTGTACGTTACTGAAAGCAAAAATTACAAACACATTTTGTAGCATGCAAAGTTAACATTATTATGAAAAATCCTCAATTAAGTAAGTGTGCATAATACAACCTACGATTAAGATCCAAACTTCAATTCCAGGTGTAAAAACAAAGCCTTAATGTTTTCACTGGACTTCAATGTCTTCTTCTTAAGAATTATTGTCCTCCCTTTGTTCACTGGAACAACTAGTGTACTAGGTATATATAGGTCGGATGACTTTTGTAACACTGAAATATCACCATCCCAAATATTTATAAAGAAATCAAGGTCTTATTTTCAATATTATGTTAAGACTTTTTTTGGCTAATAGTTTTAAGTCACCTAATAAGTTCTTATTCCTTAAAAAAGGACTGCTCCTGCCAGTTACATCAGCTTATCATCCCAAGGGTCCCTCCACAGATAATCCAGCATGGTTTGGTCAACAGTGTTTG